AAAAAAAAAAAAAAAAAAAAAAAAAAACAAAACAGAAAGAAAATTGAAGAAATGAAGAAGGAATACAAACATCGTTAGAACGTTGTTTCACAGCTAATCCCACAGCATTCGGCAATTATGTTTCACTCATCTAAAAATTACTTATATCACAATGAAACGCCAGCGCATCCTTTCGTCTCTGATCCCTATTTACGTGTGATGTACCCAGAGTAGCCCGGGTACTTATACCTCTCTTTCGTTCGTCCAAACCTTATTTTTCCAGCTGGTAGAAACTTTCAAGGATGGGTCTTAAAGGCTCTGGCAGGTTTTGGCCTTGATCCGAGGATTTCCGGATGGTTGCGAATATGTATGCTAAGGATCCGCGTGTGTCGGATGAACTGCACGTGCAAGGCCACAGGTGTTCATCCCCGCGACGCGGATCCGCGGTCACAGGGCTTATCAAACTGGCGGAGAATCGATGGAGCTTGTTGTTCTCTTAGCTTGTCGCTCGTTTACTCTTCCTGAACGCTCGCCAACATAGTTGCGCTATCACCGGCTGACTTCACCGCTCTCACTCGATAGAATTTCGTGCCACGTGGCACGCGATATCGATTATCGATCTGAAACGTGAACAAGTTGCTCGTCAATACTTGTTAAATATTTAATAGAAAAATGCGATATACACGTTATCTTGCAACTGGTCATACAATCACAAAGGATCGATCAGTGATTTTATCACATATATGTGTGTGTGTGTGTGAAAAATATTCGATTTTATTTCCTTGTACAATTCTAGCTTTTATATCGACGAAAGATTTTATAAACATTCTGTATCACGTTTGATTCGTTTCATCACACAATGAAGTGTAATTCATTTTTTGCAATCTGAGAAATCAAAACAGAAGACTATCGACTATACCACCAGTTACAATCTGTATATAAACACGAAAGTAATCTCAAACCTTTATAGCATGACAGTACTCCTTGGAGGTAACCTCGACGATGCTCTGAGTATTTTTCGACGACTCGTCGGGATGCCAGATCAGATCCAGGGCAGCGGTGGATTTCGGATCGAGGAAATGAAGCGTCGTCGACTCCTGATAGAACGTGTACGTTCTATGCGTCTCATCCCAGAACAACAGCACGTTATCACCTGGATCGCAGCTGGTCACGGTGATGTGGCCCAGCTCGGCGAGCTTCGACGCAATTCTGTCCATCTTCTTCTTAATATGCGTGAAGCAGGTGATACAACCGCACGGACGTTGCGGTTTCGGGCTGGTCGTTGCGTCCTGAGACGAGCTCGATTCGGAGACGACCGCCACGGAGTCGTTCATATCCTTCTCGCGACTTCCCGACGATGGCAACGTATCAGGAGTAGAGAAGCTTCTGGACCTCTCCTTCACCAATTCGATCTCTAATCGAACCTTGTCCGCCTCCAAGTTCTCGATTTTCGTGTCGGCTGTTTCTTTGCTCTCGCGAAGCGACTGTAATTCGGCGTTCATTCTTTTATTCTCGTTCTCAAGGACCTCGAGCCTCCTGGACAGACAGCTCGGATCGTTGCTCGGTTCCAATCGTACCTTTTTCGACTCGGACACTTCCACCTCGTCCTTCTCCGTTTCCAGGCTCTTCGGCTCCTCCTCCAGGCTACTCTGACTCATTTCCAACTCGTCACCGCTGTGCTCTTTGTGCAAGCCGGCCTCGACGAGAACGTTCTTGAAAGTCTCCGAATCTTTCAAACGTCTGATCGTACTCTTGTATCGCTTGCACTCCTCCGTTAGCGCGAGTTCTCTTCTTCTATACATCTCCATTTTCCGATCTTTCTCCTCGATCGTTTGCGTGGCCAATCGTAGATCGTATATCAATTTTGCCACGTAATCCATCCGCTCGTCCATCGTCACTGATTTCTCTAGCTTCTTCTCCTGCGTCGTCTGGGTCATTACTAGGTCAATGAAGTCTGGTCTCTGAAACGATATAAACCAAGGATGAACATCGAGAAACTCGAAATGGAAACGCAATATATCAATCGCAATTGTGCATTTACCGGCAATGTAAAAATGCAATTTGAAAATGCGCGTGAGAGATGAATGATTAGCACGAAGGTTCGCAGCGATCGATCACACTTACGTCGATCTTTTCAAGGCTGCTGTCGGTTGGACTGCTTTCCATGGTGGACGCAGTCATTAGCTTGAAACGGCTTCTGAGTGATTGCAGTTCGCTCTTGTATTCCATTTGCAGCTTCTCGGTCGCCTCTTTCACCATCCTTTGCTGTTCGCTGCACGCCTGATTCAGACTGTCTTCCAACTCTTGGATACGTTTCTGGCTCTGCGCCACCGAGTTCGTCAAGGACGCTATCTCTATGAATCTCTCGTCGTTCGCCTTCTTAACAGCCGTCTCTTTGTCCACGCGAGCTTGCTCCAACGTTTCCTCCAGCTGTTGGTGCAAATGCGTCTGCAGATCTCTCATTTCCGTTTGCTCGTTCTCCAACTTCTGCCGCATGGTGGCTATCAGGCGCTCGTGCTCGGCCAGCTCGGCTTCTTTTTCCACGAGATTCCGCTTCAGCGTGCATATCTCCTCCTCGCGACTTTGAATCAACTTCTTCACGTCCGCCATTTCCAGCTCGTGGTCCACCGTCAATTCCTGCTCGCGCTCGCGAAGCCGACGATCGCACTCGCGCGAGTACAACGACAGAGCCTCGCGAACCTGCTCGGCCATCTTCGAGAAAACAGTCTGCTGCTCGTTCGTGCGATCCCTGAGGACAGCCAACTCTTGGCGCACGGCCCTCAACGCCTCGTACACCACCGCTTTCATCGTCTTCAGGATCGAGCTAAGCCTCTCCACTTCCTCGCGCGTGTTGCCAAGATTCTCCTGAAACGTTGACACGTCACATGTCACATGTCGGCGAGTACCGAGCGAGAGGAATAAACGATTCCTTTTTCGTGCTAAACTCGACTAAAGACGTCGACGAAGAACAACTAGTCACGAGCAAATTGTAAAAATCGTTCGCAGGCGTGATAATAGAATCAACGTTGTTAGCAGAAGGGAGAAAAACAGTAGGGA